ATCATGTTTTAAAGTCATTGTGCTTCTATCACAGGCCAACATATACTGAAAGTAATCATGCTCACTGTATTGAACACTTACAAAATATTATATTAATAATGAAAATCAATGTTTTCTTGTGTCATCTATTTCAGAACCATAATACAGTACAATATAAGCCATAAGAATTGTAAGATGTGTCTAAATACAGTCATGTTTGGGGTTTTAATGTAATTGACTGATAAGAAGGCGGGTTTCCAAAGTTTCCTGAATGAAAACAACATTCAATACGGTCGCCTTAGTTTAAGACCTCCATCCATCTCTGAGAAAGTAATAATGGCAGCCTGACTCAGCCTCTGTTGACTTTCAACTCTTTCACCAGTTTAAAAGCAAAGGCTGTAAATAAATGTAAAATGTCAGCTTTGATCAAATAAAGGTGACCTAGACCTATATGTAACCAAGTATCACCTCCACCCTGAAGTGTAAAACATTCACTCCTGCACTCCGTACCTTTTCTGTGGATGTTGTTCCTGTTTTTTCTTCACTTCATCTCAATTCATCTCACACCTTTCCAAGGACACAATGAGTCCCAGGCTAACTAAAGCCCATTGATTTTCACGGGGTGATTTATAGGTGGCGTGTGTGTTAGGGCAGGCTCGATTGTCTAAGGTGGGCTGCACAGTGCCACTTTAATGAGGGTGGTGACACAGGGCAGAGAAACAAGCCCCCGCCCACCAGAGGATGAGTCGCTAATAACAGCTGCTGCTTTAATGGCCGCAGCATTTACACAGAGCAAAGGCAAACATCTGTCTTTAAACATTAATATATTTCAAATGTTCTGTTTCATATGTGTCCAATTCCTTTTAATATCTCTACAGGTTTTGCTGTCTTGTTGCTCCTGTAACATAGCGGCATCACTATGTAACACTTACGCTTCTTTGGCTAGCTCTCCAACTCATTGTATAGGCTAAGGGGCGGGCATCTCTAAGCAGTTGACCAATCAAAACGGAGCCGGCCCAGCTAACCAATCAGAGCTCTGGTTTCAGACAGAGGGTGAAAGAGGTGCCACAGCACAGGCAGTATGAGAAAAATAAAGAGCTTTTTGAACATTAAAGCATGGAGACATCTAGAGACACTACATACTGATATACACCTGAACATCAGCAGGAGAGGACTCTTTAAAGTAGAGACACTACATACTGATATACACCTGAACATCAGCAGGAGAGGACTCTTTAAAGTAGAGACACTACATACTGATATACACCTGAACATCAGCAGGAGAGGACTCTTTAAAGTAGAGACACTACATACTGATATACACCTGAACATCAGCAGGAGAGGACTCTTTAAAGTAGAGACACTACATACTGATATACACCTGAACATCAGCAGGAGAGGACTCTTTAAAGTAGAGACACTACATACTGATATACACCTGAACATCAGCAGGAGAGACTCTTTAAAGTAGAGACACTACATACTGATACACACCTGAACATCAGCAGGAGAGGACTCTTTAAAGTAGAGACACTACATACTGATATACACCTGAACATCAGCAGGAGAGGACTCTTTAAAGTAGAGACACTACATACTGATAACACCTGAACATCAGCAGGAGAGGACTCTTTAAAGTAGAGACACTACATACTGATATACACCTGAACATCAGCAGGAGAGGACTCTTTAAAGTAGAGACACTACATACTGATATACATCGGAAGATCACAGAGGAGAGGACTCTTTAAAGTAGAGACACTACATACTGATATACACCTGAACATCAGCAGGAGAGGACTCTTTAAAGTAGAGACACTACATACTGATATACACCTGAACATCAGCAGGAGAGGACTCTTTAAAGTAGAGACACTACATACTGATATACACCTGAACATCAGCAGGAGAGGACTCTTTAAAGTAGAGACACTACATACTGATATACACCTGAACATCAGCAGGAGAGGACTCTTTAAAGTAGAGACACTACATACTGATATACACCTGAACATCAGCAGGAGAGGACTCTTTAAAGTAGAGACACTACATACTGATATACACCTGAACATCAGCAGGAGAGGACTCTTTAAAGTAGAGACACTACATACTGATATACACCTGAACATCAGCAGGAGAGGACTCTTTAAAGTAGAGACACTACATACTGATATACACCTGAAATCAGCAGCAGGAGAGGACTCTTTAAAGTAGAGACACTACATACTGATATACACCTGAACATCAGCAGGAGAGGACTCTTTAAAGTAGACACTACATACTGATATACACCTGAACATCAGCAGGAGAGGACTCTTTAAAGTAGAGACACTACATACTGATATACACCTGAACATCAGCAGGAGAGGACTCTTTAAAGTAGAGACACTACATACTGATATACACCTGAACATCAGCAGGAGAGGACTCTTTAAAGTAGAGACACTACATACTGATATACACCTGAACATCAGCAGGAGAGGACTCTTTAAAGTAGAGACACTACATACTGATATACACCTGAAATCAGCAGGAGAGGACTCTTTAAAGTAGAGACACTACATACTGATAACACCTGAACATCAGCAGGAGAGGACTCTTTAAAGTAGAGACACTACATACTGATATACACCTGAACATCAGCAGGAGAGGACTCTTTAAAGTAGAGACACTACATACTGATATACACCTGAACATCAGCAGGAGAGGACTCTTTAAAGTAGAGACACTACATACTGATATACACCTGAACATCAGCAGGAGAGGACTCTTTAAAGTAGAGACACTACATACTGATATACACCTGAACATCAGCAGGAGAGGACTCTTTAAAGTAGAGACACTACATACTGATACATCAACCTGAATGATTTTAAACGTATCTATTCGTGGGACGTTGTATCTCTAATGGTAACAATTCATATACCCTGTTTTCTCAAAGGTTGACCAACAGTCTTTGAGCAGATTTACAGTTGGTGTTTGATAACGTGTTCATTTACTGTATATCCCAATACAACAAACCACTGCATGTTCAGCCTAAACTCGTCCGAAACAAACCATTCGTACATGTACCTTTAGAAAAATACAGAAAAGCATAAAAACCTTTTGTTAACAGCAGCACTGATCGTGTTGTTGTCAGTATTGGATTGTTGCCATTGTCATGGGAAATGACACCTGAACTCTAGTGATTTAGTATTGCACTTAAAAAAGTTGTGGTGACTCACAAGAAACACCTTTAAAAAATGATGAGGATCCAAATCTGTGCATCAGAGGTAAATGCAACACACTGTGCGGACTTAAAATGGCAAATGATTTCATATCTGGAGGAAATCGGGACAATTTTGGCAGTGTTTTGACTTTCCTATAGGGACATGTCCATACCATCCATACCTGAATCTACAGATATGAACATAGTCATTTGTCTTGTGGAACAGGAGAACACAGAGGCAATGAGAGGCGGTATCGATGTAACTAAAATCAAACCTCGTTCCTCTGGCTTCATTAGGCTTCCAAACGTCCACTTATCGAGAGTCCCTGAAAATGAGCTGTGAAGGTAACGGAGGATCATTGCATTGGCACTTCACTCAATATCTGCTGAATGATAAATTGCTGTGGGGGCTTATACGAGCCACAAAAAGTCCAGGGACTGAGAGTGGACAGAGTAATAATAACGATAATATTCATAAACTTTATTCAGAGCAGTTTTCAACACAAAAGTTTCAAAGTGCTTTACAAAGCAATACAATCATGATGAGAGCAAGAACCAGAGTGTCAGTGACAGAGAGGTGTGTCCAAATATTTATCAGCTTTGACATCAGTATAGGGTCATTGTTTATTGAGCATTGGCATTTTATAGAATTTAACAGCCACAGCTTGTCTAATAAGTTTGGTAGTGAAGCGTCATTTTATCAGAATACTGGGGACAGACAATTTACCTTTACAGAAGTAAAAGTACCAACACAGCCATTTCAAAAGACAGATTTAACAGATGTCATGAGCAGTGGCTAATGTGTGGGAGTCCTCAATAAACACACTACCTTGTGAGGAATCGTATCTGCCTAAAGTATATCTGGAGTCAGATAAAGTTACCAAACCCTGTATTACTCTATATATGATACCCTGCTGCCCTCTTTCTATTGGAGGACAGAGCATCAGGATCTTCTCTGTTATCTCTCTCTCTCTCTCCTATCTCTCTTCTCTCTCTATCTTCTCTTCTCTCTCTCGCTCTCTCTCTCTCTCTCTCCTCTCTCCTCTCTCTCTCTCTCGCTCTATCTTCCCTCTCTCTCCCCCTGTGTTTATGTGCTTTGACTCCCTCTCAGCTCTGTATCAGACAGACTGATCCACCTTAAGAGTGCAGCTGCTGTATAAACACTTTGTTGGGGGACCTGTGGATCAAAGAGGGGCCAGACCCCGAGTCTGGATTTCAGAGATGCTGAATCCAGAGCTTTTGAAAATCAGCGACCAGTGAGAACTTTGAGAGAGACTTGAATAAGCCGCACATCAGCAGAACAAGTGTGGAGAGGAGAGGGACGAGGACACGAGGGGAGGGGGCTGTGCTTTAAAAAGTTAATTAAACATACTAAGTGTAGCGTCACTACACATTTTTTCTCTTTAAAGGGTACCTCTCCAGCCAGCAACATTTCACCCAAAAGCAGACAGCCGGATCGTCCTGCGCTGACGCGGCTGGTCGGCAGGAAACGGCTAGTAGCGGCGGGGGTCCTGGGGGTCGTGATGGTCCTGGTTCTAGTCATCCTCATCCCGGTTCTGGTCAACTCAGCGGGGACGGCGGCGCACTATGAGATGCTCGGCACCTGCAGGATGGTGTGCGACCCGTACGGAACCAAACCCCCCACCAGCACGGCCTCGTCGGACCCGGCCCGAGACAACGGTCTCGTGCAGTCTTTACCCACTTTTATCCAAGGTCCAAAAGGGAACCGGGTCGTCCGGGTAAGGCAGGACCGAGGGGACCTCCCGGTGAGCCGGGGCATCCCGGTCCAGCGGGGCCATCTGGAGACCGAGGGGTGTCGGGCAGACCCGGGTTACCGGGACCTCCGGGGTCCGGGGGAGCTGCAGGGGCGATCAGCGCGGCCACCTACAGCACCGTGCCAAAGATCGCATTTTTCGCAGGGCTCAAAAAGCAGCACGAGGGCTACGAAGTGCTCAAGTTTGACGACGTTGTGACCAACCTGGGAAACCATTACGACCCCAACGCGGGGAAGTTCACGTGCCCCATCCCCGGGATTTATTTCTTCACTTACCACGTCCTGATGCGCGGAGGAGACGGAACCAGCATGTGGGCAGATCTGTGCAAAAACAGCCAGGTAACAAACTGAGTTTTTGTTTTATAAACCTGTTACGCACGAGCTAATGGAGTTACCACTTTATTTAATTCACCTAGCCTTCACATCAGATACGGCCTTATATAAAGTGAACTATTGACTGCAGTTCAGGCATGTAGGAGCAGCTGTTATTATTGTGTGTGTGTGTGTGTGTGTGTGGTGTGTGTGTGTGTGTGTGTGTGGTGTGTGTGTGGTGTGTGTGTGTGTGTTGTGTGTGGTGTGTGTGTGTGTGTGGTAGGTAATGGACCATAGGTCAATGGTCTTAATAGGATAGAGAGTCTGAGGTCAGGGTCTGAAAAGGAGATGGGTAATTACTGTTACTGTGGCCCTTATGAGTCAGGGTAGACTTTCTCCATCACTGAGTCTGAACAGAGTGCTCAGACTTCTCTCTGTGCAGACTGAGGCTGTCTTACATGTTGTAAATTAACTAAAGATGAAGTGTCCCTGAACTCTCTGTAAGAGTGTAAAATGAATCCACAGGACAGCAGTGCTGTGGCCTTTTGCACATCTGATATATGATCTTCATTTCATCTGGTTTCTCTTTAGCCATTTTCAAATGTCATTAAATCAGAACAAAAGGGGCGGCTTCTCTGTGATCTCAACATTTCTCAATCTTTTCCATCTCGCCCAATAATCATGTTGACCATATTTTTTAAAGGTAAAATAGAAAGGCCAACATTTAAAAACTCTCAACTTAGTCATGCATTAATGATAAAATGATTAAATGGTAAACCTAAGTTAATAGGACCTAAAGAATTGTAATACATTATGTTAATTATATCAAACACCATGCATCATTACATTGTAATATATACAAGACAAAAAGGTACACTTTTTTTATATGACTCCCCAAAGCATCCTGTTAAAAATGTCAGGGTGTTTCCCAGCTCCTTTCCAGTTTAGTTCATTAGTTTATAAAATATTGTTATGTTAAGGCATTCATATAAAATGTGCAGTCAGCTTTTAAAATATCTCTACACAATATCTGGATAGTGTTCCTTAGAGGATTTCAGAAACGTCTGCAGCCACTAATGTTTGCTGGCTGACACTAGTAAGTCATGATAAAATAGTAGAATCATTTATTTAGTGCAAGAAGTAATTGATAAATAAAACAATAATAAGGCCTGGGGGGGAGGGGGCCCTTTGCTGCCTGTGTGCTCGGCTGTGTGTTCCCTCACAGTGTCCTGCTCTCAGTGATCAGCCTGTCAGCAGCAGATCTAATCCGCGGGGCAAACAGAGTTTCCAGCGTCGCTCCACCAAGCAGATCTCCCGCTGTCAACCCGCTGCTGAAACGCTGCTGCAGACAGAACACTGCAAACATGTCTGGGATTAAACCAGTGGAGCCACACACCGTGACAAATCAGATGCTGCTCCAACACGTGTTTCAATAAGAACTATGTGGCTTTTGGTCAGAGAGGGAAAACACTGTGAACATCATCAACACATGAAGGAACTCCCCAGTGCCTTGGAATATGATCCATATTCAAATCAATGCAATTTTCTTATCATTTAAATAGTTCGATTGTACCACTTTTTTTGTCCTGGTGTAAACATCCTACTTGTTTACACTTTTCTAAAATGATCATATTTTAATTAGTCACTGGCATAGTTTTTACTTATTTTAAGGAAACCCCCAGAGTGATGAATTCACATGGAGATTCAAATATTGAAACTAGGGTTTTTCACTCTTTCCTGACTTTGTTTGACAGTGTAGAGACAGACTGCAAATTGGGGGGTTTGACATTGACATGCAAACAAAGGTCCCGTGGCGGGAATTGAACCGGTGATGGTAACATGCTTTACGAAGACACTCTGACTCTCTCCCTTTTGAATAAGATCTGGAGACATCTGGCAGTCATCGCATACAAGACAAATAATAAATCAGAATATGTGTAAAAGCTATACTATCAGATTGTATTCTAATAGGCACCAATAATAATTTGCTGTTATTAGACTAGGATTGATGACAAACTCAGCGTGGAGGCGCAGGCTGCCAGATGAAGGTGAAGCTGAGCAGCCGCTTATTTCCCCAGATTCTGTCAACAGATGTGCTGAAGCCATCTTTGTCTTTGTCCCGTCCTCTGTATGCAGGCGCCGCCAAATCTAAAATAATATCCGAATCATATACGTTTTTTAAATATAAATTGGACAGTCAATTCAGCTGCATAATGAGTCCTCTTTAAACTTAATACAAAACATTTAATGCAGGACTTCTTCCAACCAGCACTACGCATTCAAATAAAATCAATACCCAAGATGGTAATTAGGCAAATATTCATTCAACAAGAAGGAGCAAGCGCTGACATGCCTCTGGTGTGGGGGCTTTTGTTGGCAATCTATAATAAATGTTGTTGTTTATTGGAGAGTCAGGGCTAACATCATGTTGTTTAACTCACTATAATATCTCAAACGGGTCAGAGCTTGCTGAAGTATCCTCTCACAATTGGAGTCACAGTGTCCAACAGGAGAGAATATGAATGAATTCAGCTGGGCGGCCAGGGTTCCCACAGTGAAGGTCATATTACTTTTACAAGAGGAGGTCAGGGAGTCGAGCTCCTCTGTTCTGGACCAAACCGAGGGCTGTGAAATCTGAAATAAAGTCAGCCGGAGTCCGACTGAGCTGAATGACTGTTACAAAAAGTTTGGATGTGCAGATGGCCCAATAGCCAAATAGTTATGGGCCATTTGGCAATGTCCACAATTTCTGGCCAGGGACCAAATCATCAAATTCTAATCTGCTACGTAGGATTAGCCTATACTCGCAATGTCAAGTGGCAACAAGTGTGGAAAACAACATCAATCATGCCCAAAGTCTTTGGCAATGAAAGCAGATTGCACAGATTCGATGCCAAGTGATTGCATGTTGCCCTACCTCAATTTGATGGCTATTTTTCATTTGTTTATTTTGGCTATTTGTCAAAATTGTAATCACTGTCTGCCCGCTAAATGACTGTAATGGCACTCTAGCGTCTCTTGCTATCTATAGATGGGACAACACAACCTTACAGAAGTCATGAAAGCACATTTGAAGGCACAGGCTGTGTATATCTCCCTGTGGATTGAACATTTTGATAATTTTCAACAGTATTCATAATATAACACCAGTCCTGCTTTATGGGAAAAAATAGACATGGAAACCCACCTTTTTACAGTATGAGACATTTAAAGAAGATGGTACCTGCTGTCAGTAAAAACGAATGTGTGTCTAACGTACAAATGGGAAAGTCTGCCTTTTAAAAACAATTTAAGATGAACACCTCTGTGCCTACCAACCCTGGGATATTGTTATAAACTGCTGGTAAAATAAGTGCAGATTTATTGGATTGGTACACCAGATAAAAAAATAACTAGCTTCTCAGGAAAGATGCTTTATGCTTCCGTGTGTTATTAAGAGGGGAACCTGGTGAAGATCAGGCTCTTAGGATATCGAGCATGTTACTGAAAGGATTATCCAACATGAGAGCAGAAGACTAAATGATAAGATTAAGATTTGTCAGATTTAAATCAGATTAATCCAATTTAAAAGAAAAAATCATGTCAGTCATATTCTGTCGTTTTACCATAGATTTCAAGCCACTATGCTGTATCCCTTTGTAACCCAGGGACCTGACCTTAAAGGTGGGGTAGGTAATTTCGGAGAAACCAGCTCGAGTGCGCTAGAATTTGAAAATACACAACCGGAAGAAATCTGCCACTTCCTTACAGAGCCCCTCCTCCAACACACACGAACGCGCACATGACCAATGAGGGCACGAGATAAGTTTGTGCACAGATGGAAGGCTGACAGGCAGGTAGGCCATCCAGTTACTTTAGCCAGGCCGGCTAAAATGATTGATCGTGCTTTTTTACAGTACTACGGCTTCCATAGATGACATTTTTTTAATGTATTTTTTGTCAAAGCACTTAAGATATTCATTGCTATCCGGGATGTTAAGAGCATTCCATGGAATATAACAAAAAGTGTATCGAGCTGGTTTCTCAAACTTACCTACCCCACCTTTAAGTGATGCAATTAAATCGTCACTTCTCTAACCAGGGATGTATTTACAGTCTCCCTCTGTACCCTCTTCAAGGCAAAGCACAGTAATCAGCCATTAAGACGATAAAACGGGCTCATGTGAATTGCTGCTAGTATTTTCCGAATGTTGAATGTTATATTTTCAGCTCTGTGTATTCTTGCTGAACAGCTGCTTCAGTTGTCTTACACTATGCTCCTAATTAGATTGTGTTAAAGAGGGTTGCATGCAGGCCAAAAGTAAGACAAAGGCCCTTATTAGAGGATTAGTTATCTTAACAATATAATATGGTTATATTATTTGATTACTTTAGGGCAGTGGTTCTCAACGTGGGGGGCGCGCCCCCCCAGTGGGGCCCAGAGGCATGACAGGGGGGGGCGCGAGAGACTCCAGGGGGGAAAATGGTATTTAAAAAAAAAAAGATTAAAAAAAAATCACTATTTGAAAAATTATTGATTGAAAATCAATATGATACAGTACAGTACTATTACGTCTGGGTCTCTGTGTTTCATTACAGCTCGGCTCTGTGTGTGTGTGTGTGTGGGACGAGCCATTTTGTGTGCGTGCACTCATAGAGAGAGAGAGCGCACTGGTACCGGAGATCGTAGTTGTCAGCTTCTGGTGGCTAGCGAGCTACGCTAAACGGATAAGGAGTTTTTTCAACAACAGAGTGGAGGAGAGTCCTCTCCTGTCAGACTGAGAGGCTCAGTGAGCTAAAGGACTCTCTCAGTGTTATCTCAGTGGGTCTCAACCGTTTTGGTCACCATTAATGTAAACAATTATTTCCGAGGCACACGTTTATATGATCATTATAGTTATACAAAAATAAGAGATATAATGAAAACAGGTATGAAATACTATATGACAGTAAAAAAGAATAAAGTTTAAAAAGGGGGAGTGATTTGCAAAATATCCATAAAGAAAAAAGTAAATCTGTTTACAGTTCTGTTTCAAATGGGTGTTGAGAGATGTATCCATAGATCTCTTCATTTTGCTCTCAAGTGCACCAGATTGATGCTTTTAACTTCAATATTTAAAAATCTTCCCGGGGGAGCTTGCCCCCGGACCCCCCTATGTGAGGTCCACACACCACCTATAAAAATAGCACTTTACCCCTGCTTACACCTATATGCCGTGAGCTGATTATCGAGCCTTCATTGTAACAGTCGCGGGTACATTGTGTATATGTGTGGAGATTGTTGCAGTAGAACATTCCACTGTAGCGCCCGGTACATTAATGGGAAACCCTAAATGTTTGAGCACCCTCTATGAAACGTCAAGCTACCCCACAGCCCCCCAAAATAAATCTCTGGCGCCGCCACTGAGCCTGGACTATTTGTGTTGGGGGGGCCCGACTTTTTTTTTCTCCAAAGGGGGGGCCTGACAGAAAAAGTTTGAGAACCACTGCTTTAAGGTAATGTAACCCTGCTATCGAGGTCAATATATCCCTAATGGCCTTTGTCCATTCATTGAACAAGAGCTAGCTGTCATCATATATCAGAAGCAACCCACATAAATGTACAGCTAAACATGTGTTCACAATATTTTTAGATTTCATGTGTAGGCTTTGTCTGAAAAGGTGGTTAAGAAACTAGAATAAATGGCTTGGTTTTCAGCGTGTGGTTGAGGGTGTTGCAGTGACTGCTGTCTTGGCCTTGGTGCAGAGTTCATTAGAGCCACTGTGGAGTCACAACAGAGGGTAGTCTTGATGGACGTGAGCAACAGGACAACCAAACTCTTAGAGATGTTGGAGAAGGAACCCTGAGACTTCATAGAGGCGAAACATGTGCACTACCATTAAGTTAAATCTCTGCTAATATTTCTTTCTCTGAGTTGGTTTTGATGTAAAGCCCAACTAACAGTCCCTTTTAGTCTCATTCTATAGAGTGGAGCAGTGATCACGTATATTTGTAGGCGAACCCGGAAGTTAGCATGCTAGGGCTAAATACAGAAAATAAGACCTGTGGCAAACAAACTTTTATGATACTTCCACGTTTTGTTCAGCAGGATAATCTCCACACATTAAAACACCACCTTTGTTAGTTAAAGCATAAATGCAATGGGCCAGCAGTAGCTAATGTAGGCTATAAAAGACCTACATCATGATCTCATGACTTTGCGTCAAACTCCGTAAAGCTAAAGGCGGCTAATGTTCGTCGTAATGAAGCTTCAGACATTCAACAGTGTCAGAGTAGAACGAAAAAATGTCTGAAGCTTGTGTTAACAACAGACGTTATTTGAGAATCTACTAAAACTCTGTTATATATTCTATTTCTTAATCCAACACTTAAATCACAAGCAAGATATATTAAATACTATTTGTGTAGTTAGTTTGTTGGTCTTTGGTTAGTGTCTGAAAGTGTCCGTGTAGACACCACCCTCCAAGGATTGTGATTTCAGTTTTGCTTTTGAGTGTTAATATGGACGATGACTGTGTGTTGTGTGTGTGTGTGTGTGTGTGTGTGTGGTGGTGTGTGTGTGTGTGGTGTGTGTGTGTTTGTGTGTGTGTGTGTGTGTGTGTGTGTGTGGTGTGTGTGTGTGTGTGTGTGTGTGTGTGCGCATCCCTGCAGGTGCGTGCCAGTTGCCATCCGCCCAGGATGCGGACCAGAACTATGACTATGCCAGTAACAGCGCCGTGCTGCACCTGGAGCCAGGAGACGAGGTGTACATCAAACTAGACGGGGGCAAAGCTCACGGAGGAAACAACAACAAGTACAGCACCTCTCTGGGTTCATCATCTACGCTGACTAGGACGCAACGACACACTCTGACCTCAGATAATGCAGGACCTCGTGGCCAAATCCTTCACCGAATCTTCCTCAGACTTCCCTCTTTAAAATGTGGACTAACCAGTATAACTTTCGCCTTCATCACCTGCATATTATTTATTTTCTATTTTTTTGACCAACAATCACTGTCCGAGTGACTGCGGACAAATGCATTAATGAAACGATCGGATTGTCAAAGTGTGGGATGCTGTCACATGGGGAAGGAGTGCACGAAGCATCAGTTTAGCTGTAGCTTATGATGGTATTAGAGGTAATGGTCTTAAATGAGGTGTTAATAGGCAACATTAAGAGGAATGAGTTTACATTGGTGTGTCATCACCCTTAAATTTGATTGGTCGAAAGAGAACATCGGATAGAAATGGAGGGAGCTAATGAGTATATCTGAAAACTGACAGTGGGGATGATTGTGTGCAATATCTAATATATAAACTATATTCATGGTGATTATGTATAAGAAAGCCCCCAGATATCATGCATTATATTAAGGAAAAGCTGGTAACACTTGAACTGCATTTTGAAACACTATCAGCAGCCTCTCATGTCAAAACATAATCACATCTTTCATAGAATAGAAAACTAATGAAATATCTTCTCATCTTTATTATTGTTCATGTAATACAATTGTATACAATCAATCTATATCATTATGATTTAATAATGTGCTGATATCTTAGCATGGCTTTGTAACACCACTTTGTAGAAGTTCATCATTTCACAGTGGCCCTCTGCAAAATACAGATATAAATACATATGTTGTGATATAAAAGCTACATGCTAGAGATACACATATATGTTTTACCCAAAGTAGCTACCATTGAGGACGGAGATCTCATGTCTTTATTTGTTTTCTTTAAGTTATTTATATATATTTTAATTCAATATATATTTATAAGTCATAGTATTATAATGATATTGATCTAAATGAGGGATTAAGTATTTTCTCTAAAACTATATTACAAATATATTGGGAGATAAATAGGAAAGGTGGAATTCATTGGAATACTTTGGACACATGACCTTAGTTTGTCCAAAAATCCAGGCTGACTACACACTGGGTGTTTCTCAATGTCAAGGACGCTTGCTTGGTAGCACATGTCTTCCGAGTCACTTGCTTCAGAAGCTAGGCAAGAATCCATCCTGGCATTCGGAAAACGAAGAGTGGAACAGGCGAGCAAGTGTGCAGGTGTGCGTTATATGAGAGGGCCCCCGCCTACATTTCCGCCACAGATTTGGGGAAATTGGTCCGTGCGCAAAGCATTGTGGGGATTATAACACCGCAGAGTCTACACATGTGGCAGCCTCGAAATTTCTCGCTACGAAGTACGCGCGGGCTCGGTAGAATTCCAAGTATGGCTGGACATTGGAACAGTCCTTCGGCGGCACTCGATGACGTAGTATGCTTGAAATAGTGGCTCTGGAGCATCCTCCCTCGACATTGAGAAAACACCCACAGCTTTCAAGTCTTTGTGCTGAATTACACTTAACATTAAATGAGGCACATTGCTGGAGAGGAAACAAGTGTATTTTACGAGATTGAAGACTTGTTCCTTTCTTAACAACATCTCATGTATACTGAATGATATTAGTTTGTAAACTCAGTGCTCCCTGAGATTCAGTTGTCAGAAGACACACTGTGTTGTGTTATAGGACACAAAAACTGACACCCCTTTGATTATTAAGTCATTTAAATGTGACTTTTTTGCAGAGTACAATTTGACTTGTCCCAAAAGTAAAGCACAGGTGTTAATGATAAAAAAATAATGATGGGCTGGTTCCCATTTAGCAGCTTTGATTTCAGGTGCCTGGTAATTGTACATGCCAACATCGTTAGCGTCATTAGCAACACCTGTGCTTCTCCTGCGGTGACACAATCTAAATGTGTGCTGAGAGAAAGGCTTATTCAATGAACCGTATCGTACTATTGCTGTTGGTAAATGACAGTAACGGTTGAACCCTTGGGAAAACATCGAACTTGCAGAGCTTCGCAGAGGAGCAGACTGGAATGGTGACTTGACAAATGTTAGCGTGTAGATGCTACTAAATTGCTAACCACCTAACCCTACGCATACTGACATTTCAGTATTTATCACAGTTTTGGGCTTCGAAAAGAAATGGAGATTTTATGTTTTGATTTGAATTATAATACAACAAAATATAAAGTGTATTCAAATACAGCTCTGACCTAAACACAATTGATCATTTTGAGTGTTTTGGACTGAAAGGATGCTCGTATTGGAATCAGTGCTGCTTTGATATGGCTGTGAACTGACTGCAACATTTGGAAACTCCAAATTGAGTTTCTTCACATGGCATCGAAACAGATATGGCAAATTAAAAGTTGTTTACCCAATTCTACCAAGCAGGAGCCACCCACACTGAGTGGCTCCAATGTGTGTGTTCCTCTGATGTGTGTCCTGATATGTATTGAAATAGTGTTGCTTGATTGGCTGTGGTTCAGCCCCGGTGTGCGTACTCCTTCACCCTGACCAAAGTTGTGAACTGAAAGCACTATGCAGAAGTTAGAGGAATCACAATGTATCACTGTACATGTATCTTAAGGATAGAAAGTGTGCATCACTGTAATGGGAATCATGTGTAAATACTGTAGTGATACAAACTGTTCTTATTTGTTCTGCCTACCCCATGTACAGAATGCTAGAAGAGTGTATAATGGTTTTAAATACTTGATTAATCAACTCATTATTCAGTAACCACTGATTGTCTTGAAGTTCCAGGCCTCACCAGTGTATTGGTGTGAAAGGCATATGTATGATAGATACAGTGTCAGGTGTGTGGCAATACTATAAAACACGTTGCCACTTTCTTCTTCTGTCTGACAACAGTCACCTGTGTACTGTTACCCTACCAATCAAAAATGTCTCCATTAAATGACTAATGTAACATGTGTTGACTGATTTATTTGTTGTTCAAATGGGGGGGGACATAGTAGTGTTTATACATGAGTCTCCAAGTAATAGATTACGTTTCTAACAGTATTCCTCGAGACATACTTAAAAACTATGTCCAAGTAACCAGATCTACATTATATAACAATAAATATAATACATGTATTATATAGCCTTAGTTCCCAATGTGTACTCACGAAGATGGCAAGTACTCAGATAATAATAATAATTATAAACTTTATTTGTATAGCACAATGTATTAACAATAGTAAAATAATATTAAAATTAATACAGAACAAGATAAAAACATCTACAGTGATAAAATGTTAAAATAAAACAATTTAAAAAACAAAGGAAATCAAAGAAAAACAGAAAATGAATACAGTAAAACCTGGACACTGATACTAGTCACAATTGAAAGTTACCCCAAATGAAAAGCCATATCAAAAGATAGGTTTTTAATTTGCTTTAGAATGACCAGATGACTTTGGAAAAGTCTGTCCAGGCCAAATGCATAACGATTACATCACATGTTACTTGTTAGACGCTTTTATCCAAGCGACTTACATACTCAATACTGTGTTCATCCCCACAGGAGCAATTTGGGGTGAAGTGTCTTCAGGGACACAACGACATGCTGACTGCAGTGGGGTTTGAACCGGTGACCCTCTGATCCGAACACCTACGCACAACCCACTGCACCACACGCCTCCCATGATAACAAAAACAGAACACAAAAGGGAAAACTGATATGATTTAGTTGCTTCTGGATTATTTGCACGATATTATCGTTTACTTTTAACGTGGTGTGGATATTTCATTTTTACCCATAAGGAGGACCCACCGTGACACAGGGTCTCACATGAACTTTAATAAATGTTCTGGAAAGTTCCCTATTACAGCTTAGCCTTTATTTTATCTCAGGAAGTCCCTAAGTGACACTGAACAGTCTGGTGGGTCATGGTCCAGATCATGGTGACTTTGTGTTCCCATAACAACATGTCCAAGATGTCCATGTGCCACACATGTGACAGAACTAGCTACATTTAAAAAGCTTGTTGTTGTTGCTAAGGTAAAATTCAAGCCATTTAAGAATGAAAAATGCCTTGTGCCATGTCCTTTATTACATTTAACCTGTTGTGGAAACATGTTTTGATCAAATTTATATGAAACAAATGAGACAACATCGCTGTGACACTGATGTCACATCGGGACTACTTAACCCTAAAACTTTCACAGATAAACCCAGTGACATATATGCACAATTAGAAATATTATGATCTGCCTCAGTTAATTTAGCTGATACGACATGTTCTTATTCTTCAATTCAAAGAATGTTCAAGCTAATTCAAACCAAAAAAATCATCCTCATTAATTAGTTATAAATAAGAGTTATTTTACCATTAAAGCCAATGTGACATATATGTCACATTTCAGATATTGGACACTAGGGGGGTTTACTTGTTAGAAATAGTGTTCTAGGTGGTCTATTTAGTCTAAAATTATGTTCCCCTTATTTCCCCAAAAGTAGAAATGGGTCCGGGTTCTTATGCGTTAAAATATCCCAGCTCTTGCCACAAAACCTGTATATTGCTAAGGCTTACTTTAAAAAAATAGTACTGCTGTGTACAGTTGACTATTTCCTATTTACAGGAATGCCTACTTTTGATTATGAACCACCAACATGTTCAAAATTAGATTAAGCAGTAAATATGAAATGTATTTCATTCTTAACTCAAGGTCAATCTTCTCTGTTCTGAGGCTTTTGAACATATGACTTGTCGATTCCACTGATAGTCCAATCTGGTCTGATTATCATTGAAGTCTTCTTTATGCTTTTAGCTGCCAGATTCTGACACATTCAAATTGTTCTCTTATTTGTTAGCTATGTCGACAGATAACGTCAGAAACTCTTTATGGCCTAGGGAAAGGATGGAGTAAACTTGCCATATTTACATGTTGTGCATCCAGTGGTGAAGGGCAGTGAAGGAGACGTTCACACCTCCAGTGGAGCTCCAGATGGAGGCTGGGGCCAGGCTGACAGCACATCAGCACCGGGGCCTGCTTATAGTCCAACAACTCATTGTGTTAAAATATACAGCCCACCCCCCCTCTAACACCCGTCATCTCCCAGAACACAGGTTTATAACGGCAGAACTGCTGAGAAACACCAGAAAAAGACTCGAGGCAAGGCTCTGCTAAACCCAATAACCATGTAGTGGGTTGTTCTACCGTGGCAAGTCTCACAACACACAAAATATGTTTGACAAAATACAACTGTCTTCGGATTAAATCAGTGAAGGTTATTTTAATAAAAGTGTGAAATACCAGAGAAAAATGCGGTGAATTTGGTATAGGCAGGTAAATAATACTTTTAAAATGTCCAAACATTTACTTTCATCCTCACATTTTTTTACAGATCTTTTAAAGGTGCAGTGCACCCAGGTTGTATCTGACACACTGTTAGCTTATCATCATGCAAAGAATAGTTTTTAACGCATTTTTCGGGTTAATTTTGCACATTTAATTAAAACAACTTGCACACAAAACAAAATAGTTTTGTTTCGTCACAAGCTTGCTTTATGAAGCAGGGATATTTTAGCTTTATTTGTAACTAAACCAAAGAGACCCTGGAAAATTGGACTAATGAATTGTGACCAAACTTGAAACAAAAACAGAGAACAGTGCACTTCATGATTGAGACTGTCTCTCCACAGGACACGCTTCACCCAACACGCTGTCTCTCTTTCACTCACAGGCTGACCCCTCTCTCCCCCTTTCAACCCGTCTGTCTGTCTCCGTCACTATCACATAAGAAAGTATTCTCTCCCTCTCTCTCTGTCTCTCTTCCCCCTCCAACCTGTTAGCTTTCCCAATTTCAACACCTCCAACTAATCCTTAAACAAGTCAATTTGCCCGCGGTGAAAAGGGGATACATAGGTGTACATTTGCAGAAGAAACATCAGTTTGTCACGGTCATCCAAGTTTTTATTTTTTGACATTTCAACTAGGAGAGTTCCCAGGCTTCACCACGGCATTAAACAAAAGCTAATCTACGAGGGAATGAAGTGCAGGTGTGGAGATGGGTGGAGGAACTCAGGAGAGGGGAATGAGGTGATTAAGCAGGAGAGGCAGGGAGCTGATTAGCATGTGAGACACCTGGGGGGGGGGGGGAGACTAACGAGGCTGATTCAGAGCATGTGTGTGGCTGTGCAAAGGAGGGAGAAGCAGCACAGAAAACACACACAC